GATTCAATCACTTTGGCTAGAAAAGATTGAGGGAAAAAAAAGATTCCATTTATTAAAAGAAGAAACTAAGAAAAACAAAATATCTAATGATCATACCAAAAACAAAATATCTAATGAAAGCTATCTTAATTGAAATTATAATTTCAAGTTAAAAATTTTAAATTCGATCATTTTTACAGGGAGGAGATATTAAGGAAAGAAGAACGTTGTTTTTGTTATATAATCCATTTTTAAATATGCAAAACAAAAAACAAAAACAATAAGAGCTCACTCCCATTGAGCTTTTTGAATATTTATTCTAAAAGTTTAAAACTTCATTTTTTTTAATATGTAAAAATTAAGAATTAAACTTGATATTTGTAGTTAATATAGCATAAGTAACTCTACCATCATACCATAGCACTAATAATTAAAAAAAACTCCATATAATTAACCATTAAGCATATAAAAAAAAAATCTGTAGAAGCCTCGAATCATTTAACAAGAGTTCAATTCCAAATGAACATGTTCCCCTGACTTCAAAAATAAAAGTAAAATAAACTAAACTACGTACTACCTTCCTCCATTTAACTAATTAGCTCCACGTACGGTATGCCTAACCCCAAGTGTAAATTTATGTATTATTTTAAGTATAGAGTTTTTATGCATCTCTATAACTATACTACTTATCTTCCATCTCCATTATTCTATTTTATAGGAACCCATTGCATCAATCATCCGGCCAAATCGTGAAGGAGATGCGCCCCCATCAAGTTCCGGTAGGGTAAGTGCTGCCCATCTCCGTCTAACAGTGAGTACTGCGCCGGTTGACAATCTTCAATGTGATCTCTGGTGTAAAAGAAAGAGTTTTGTGATGCCGGTGACAACGCCAGGCTGACCCCACCTCCGTCGTGGTGCTGTAACCCTAACGTCAGCGACACGCCTGATCCACCGTTGATATTGTGGTTAGCATTATTCTCTCCCGAGAAAGACACCCCACTGACGGTATGGTGGTTGTAGGAAGAGAAGTCTAATTCCATAGCAGCAGCAGCTGCACCATATACCCCAAACGCTTGTTGTGGATGCATGTGGTGGTTTTGAAGGGTTTTGGTGGCTTTAGGGTCAGTTTTGTCGGGGTTTGAAACGATGGAAGACAGACATTCGGACTCAGCGACTCGGCCTAGCTGGTCGGCAGTCGGTTTCTGTTCCGGTAGAGGGTTCTGTCTGTCGACATTACCGTCAGTAAGTCCATCGGAGGAGGCCATGTTGTTTTCTTGTTCCTTAATCTCTTCCAAGTACATTTCTTCCACCATTGGCTTCCATAACCTCACCCTTGCATTAATGAACCAATTGGATACCTGAGAAGAAAAAAAAAACCCACAAAATAAAACATATAATAATTATCCAATATATAGTTGCATATAAATGATTGCATTACAAGATATATATATATATATATATATAGGCCCCACAAGATTTAAATAGCTAGGAAATAAAGAGACATATATGCTTTCCATTTTTATTTTTATTTTTTTGGCCAAGAGATATATATGCTCTCCTGTCTCCATTGATAATTAATATAAATTAATAATTCAATTCAAGAGGAAGGGATTATGGAGAAAGAGATCATGTGGACATGCCTGGCCTCTTGAGAGACCTGTTTGGCGAGCTAAGATGTGTTTATCAACATCACTTGGGTACCTGCAAAAGATTTAATTTTCAAGAAAATTAAAATTCAGTGTTTGAAGAACATAAACAAAACCAAGGAAGAAAAGCACATATGGGAAAATTAATTAAAGAATGTGAAGGATTGAAATATATATGACAAAAGATGAAGCTAGTATGGAATTTGAATGGTGATGGATAGAAAGTAACAAAAGATTGCATTTATACTATATAACCACTGCAAATGTTTGTTTCCTACTTCTCTTTGGAGAGAACATTATACTCTCTCTAAAATCTATTCTGAATCTCTCTTATATATAATACAGAGCCTTTTGATTTGTGAGAGTTTCAACTTTAAACCTTAAGACACAAAAAAGAAAGATAACTTGGAAAAAAAAAATGTATAGGACAAACGATTAAAAAAAAAAGTAGAGAAAGAAAATACTTACGGATGAAGAAAATGCTCGAACAACCAAGCTCGGAGAACCGAGACAGATCTTTCGGGCAACCCTCTTTGTGGTCGCCATGGATGACTCTCCATGATGCTCATCTGTTGAAATGCTCTTTGTTGTCTCAAGGCCTGGTCCAGAATTCTCAGCCTTGGGGTTTCTCCCTTTGTAATACTCGGTACAACTGGGTCTCTCTCCCCCATGGCCTTCTTAGTAGCCTGAATCTGACTCACAATTCCATCCTTTAAGCATCTGAAATGCCTTGACATAGCTTTGCAAGCTAGGGCTGAGTATACCGAGGCTGCTCCGGCTCCGGCAACTGCCTCAAAGGGAGATACCACTGCCTTCATTTGATCACGGTAATGCCTGTATCTTCTGTCCACCTAAGGAAGAAGATTAATTCAGAGAAATTACAACAAGAAATCAAACAAAGTGAGGGTATCTAGTGATTAGGTGAAAGATAAGATGCCATAAAAAGGAAAAGGAATAGGGGTTTTTGAAAGAAAATGAAAAGCAAAAATTGTCACGATGTGGTCATTAATGGGAAGGACCCAAGTCGCTAAATTAGTTCAAGAAACAAAATTTGTGAGACCCCTCCATTAAAAATTAATTCTGATTAGTTTACATCGATCAAGATAAATAAAAAAAAAAAAATCGATTTTCTTTATTTTGAAGGAAAAGGGGAACAAGAAAAGATCATTTTAGTAGTAAAAATGAAACATTTGAGGTAGTGTTAATTACCTCTTCTAGCATTGAGAGCAGCTTTGTTTTTCTTTTCTGTAATTCAATGAAATCAAGTAAGTGAAGTGATTGGTTTCTTGAAGGACTGCTTCCATGCTCATCATGCCACTGTTTGTTCTTGTGCTTTTGCTTTGGTACCGCATCCATCATCTGCTTATAAGTTCCAAGACTGCAAAACTCATTCAGAACCTCCCGAGCAGGACGCAAGTACCTTGAATTCCTCATCAGATGAAATTGGCCTTGATGATTTCCACCTTTTCCCAACAACCCATGTGGAATAATATTGTTCTGATTATTCTGTCTCAGTTCAAAAGACTGCAACCCAATACTGTTGGGATTGGTTGAAGAAAGAGAAAGAGAAAGCCCTTGACTTGGCCTTTCATTTCCTTGACATGGAAGCACACACCTCAAAGAAAAATCATCTAGAGGCAACATGTTTTGATCTTGCCAAGAAGTAGAATCAGAACCCAGTATCACATACTTCTCACTGCTACTTTCAAAAATCCCCGTCTGATTTTCATGTTGGTAGAAATCTGCTGTTGACTCACTGATTGTAGTCTTTGAAGAAGAAGGATAAGATGAATTTACAGGTTTTCCAAGCACCCCTTTCCAAGTGCTGTCAGCCTGATTCTCGGAAAACCCTATCATCTCCATGCCTGTTGTTTCCTTTCCTTGTTAGGGCAGGAAAGCCAATGAATCATTCCTAAGTAGGAGTTGAATCCAGGCTTTAGTTTCAGATGGGTTTCAGTGAAGGGTGTTGTGTCAATGGGAAAATGGTGTGTGTGGGCCTGAACTGCTGCTTCTCCAATGGAATTTTTCTTGCGTGTGAATTCTGATTCTCTCTCTGAAATGTAGTCTAAATTTTGTTTCCAAATATAAGGGAGTGTTTTCTTTCTGCCTTGGAGAGATGAGGTGGTCCTGCGTTTCCCCTTCTTGATTCCAATTAATTGCTCTATTAAACTATTCCACTCATTTCGACTGGGACCCACATCTTTTCTTCTTTTCTTTTCATTTATGGCCCTCACTTTGCCCTTCCTCCACGCGCACCTTCCCCGCGTCTCCCTTAATCGACGACTTTTCCAATGTTTTCCTAAGTGAATTTTATTTAAATATTTCATAAATTAAGATAAAGTTTTAATTTAGTTAAATTTTATATACTTTAAAACGGTATGAATACCTGAATTAGATGAAATTTTTGACATGATTTAAAAAAAAAAAAAAAAACTACTTTTGAAAGGGAGTGAATGTGAGATCCCTTTTGACACTTCTTTTCTTTTCTTAACATTAAAGTTTGTTTGGGGTGCTTCATTTTCAAGTTATTTTCACTTATTTTTCTATTTTTAAATTAAATATGTTTGAAAAATGATGGAAAAAGTCATTATTAAGTAATAAAACAAGCCATTGTCAATTTATTAGGTACAATAAATTAAAAATTGACTATCCAATCACGTTTTTGCAATCACTTTCTATTTAAATAAATCAAAAACTATAGATATATAAGAAACAAAAATAATAACAAAAGCTACTACTTTATATGAGAAAATATATACAAAATTTAAAAATATATTTTACAAGTTAAGCTTTTTAGTTTAGGTTGAGTAGTGTTAAAAAAGTGACGTTTTAAGCACGCGCTTGAGGCGAGAGTGGGGGGTAGGCAAAGCACAATTTGCTTTAATTTTCGTCCGTCAAATACAGCCGGTGGTCCTCGAAGGAAGCTTTCTCCGCCGCTCGCCAATTTCTCCGTTGCCACCGTCACCTATCTTTTTTTCCCTTTTTTCTTTTTTTTTTTGAAAATAGGCAATGCCGTCACCTATCTTCTGCTTCATCTGCTTGTAAATACTCTCCCCCTTTGATTACACACCCCAGGCTCAGTGTCTTCAGTTAGGGTACCCCCAGAACAGTCGGGGGGAAAGTTAAAAGGTGCCCTTCTGCAGCAACCTGGGTTCTCACCAGGGCTGTAGCACATCCCTGTAGCTACGATACCGTGGACTTTCTACTGTAGCCAGCTGCAAGTCTCACGTTTGTAACGTTTGTAACCTAATCAATGATACATATTTTATTTTAATACATTGTATAATATATTTATTAAAAATTTATTATTTTATAAAATTAAAGATAAAAAACTTAAAAATATAATTATATATATTAAAAATATGAATTAATTGAATTGATTAAATATATGTTATATTTTAATAATTAAATTAAAATAAATATTAAAAAATATATTAAATTGAGTATGTACTCATTTTTTTTTTGGCTATATATTGATTGCTTTGAAACCTAGGAAAAAAATTATTGTGACACATGTTTTATTTTTGTTAAGTCTACATAATTTTGATTAATATTTTATTTTATTATTATTATTATTTAAATAATTAATTAATATTTAAAATATTTACTTATTAATTAATTTTAATATATTAAATAATAAATATTAACTGTGTAGATATAACCACAGCTTCCCGAAGGTGGTCCAATATGAAATCCTTTCTGCACGGGACCAACCTTAGCTAATCATACAGCTATGTTCCTCTGGCTTTTTAGAGCACCATTTTATGTCCCCAAGACTAAGGTAGCTCAACTAATTAATAAATTAAGATTTTAATTTAGAAATTTTATACTGGAATATTGAGTTTAGTGGAAACAAATTTGAGAAAAGAGAGGGACTAATCTCTCTTGAAACAAAACCAAATTCTGTTTCACTAGAAGCAGAGAGACCTAGAATCAAAGTCGGGGAGACTAGTCTTAAACTTTTAATTATTGTTTGGTGTGAGGTGTTATGGGTGTAGGGTCAACAAAGGACATGTACGGGGGTGTAGGGTAGTCTTTGTATACATGCATCAAATAAAGGTGCATAATTAGGTTGGACGGGTAAAATTAAAAAAAAAAAAAAGGATCACATCAACTATTAGTGTTTATTTTTGGTTCATTTTATAAATCATGATTCACTAGGGCGTGCAATATACATTATGTAGTTGTTTTTGCCGATGAAAGTAGGTTAAAAACAAAAGAATTGGTTGACGTTCTGGTTAAAGGGTAATGTTTTCCTTGCATTTTCCATGAGTAAGGAATATGAAAACAGTACTGTAGACGAATCAATTCCTTGGCAGAATGGGATGTGACTAAAGACAAATGGGATGTGATCACACAATTCAATTTTTATGAATTTATTTATTTATAATTTTTAAATAATTAGTTATATTATTTAAGAAATATTTATTTATAAAATAATTTTAATTTATTAAGTAATAAATATTAATTATTTTATTAATTTTAATTTTTAATTAATAATTAAATTAAATTAAAAATTAAACAAATTATATAAACTTAACAAATGACCGTGTGGGAATAACTTGTGCCGGCAGCCTGAGAAACAGTAAGATTTGGGATCTCTCTGCCATAATTTTTGATGTTACAGTATCATTGATTTATACTCGTACCTTTGAATTTAATGGTAGGGTCCAACTGTTTTTGTGGGGTACGTATATGCTCCCCTTTTACCTTTTTTTTTACAGTCACCGAAAATTCTTCTCTTTTACTTATGCAAGTTTATCCTTACCCTAATAATAATAATCTAATTTCATGTGCACCGAGCCCTTCGGACCAAGTAGCAATAGCCACCATGGTGCATTCCTCTCTTCCTCCAAGGTTGGGGTTCGAACCCAGCCCCTTGTAAAAATCAGTTCAAAAAAAAAAAAATCTAATTTCATGTATTTATTGAGATCAATTTTCAATAATTAAATTGAAACTAACTAGATAGTAGCTATACTTTATAAGCATCTAATATGTAGTAAATAAATTTATCTATTAAATTGTAAAATTTTATGATTTAATTTAGTATACGTAAATAGTTTGATAATAATCTAAGAGATTTTATATTTTTTTAATTGTAAAATAAAAAAAATGAGACCAAAGATTGTTTTTTATTATATAACTGAATAAAAAAATAATTATATATCAAATTACTGGCCCACCCACTATCAAATTAGCAAAAGCAAACTTGGTGTCACAAATTGCAGTGTCTCCACAAGTAAGCATTATCAATTAATTTAAAAAATAATATAATTATAATAATATAATATTAAATAAATATATATGTAATATATATTATATTACATTTGATAAGAATCCTCACTCCACTTTTGTTGTTGTTTAGAACTGCTTTCTATCCAAGTCAATACCCAACCATCATATATATATATATATAATATACAAGCAGAATAAGAGTGTCTTGAATCTCTAGATCAATCAGTCTGTTGAGCAGCAGCATCAAGCAAGCAAGAGTTGAGGGATGGTTAAGAGGCAAAAAAATCCTCAATGAAAAAAAATAAAATAAAATAAAAAGGTGGACTTTTAGCTTTTCTTTATAAATGTTAAAATACTGAAAATGAAATAGGAGTTGGTGGCAAAAAAAAAAGAAGTGTGAGGTAAGTTGAATCGGATAAAACCTATAAAAGGGTAAGGTTAAAAACTTAAAAGAAAATGACATCTACGACACTATTCAACATCACCAGCTAGCTATAGCTCTGCCCTTTTGTGTGTGTGCGCACTTTAATTGGTCACTACTACAAAATGGTGTGGCGTTGACGCCCCAGTGATATCATCTTCTATTCACTGCACCCTCAGATGCTACCTAGCTACATCCCAATACTAATCAAGGTCCTGTCAATTCCTCTACAAGCCTTTTTCCTTTGTTTAATATTTTAATAATAGACATTGATTTATATATTTTTTAATTTAATATATTATATTATATATTTATTAAAAATTATTATTTTTTAAAAATAAAATTAAAAATAAATTGCACTTGACCTTGAGGCTCAATGGCACTTGCCATTGCAAAGTGTATTTTTCCTTCACCGGCGGGTTTCGAACCCGCCCATGTCCAAAAGTTTAAAAAAAATAAAAAAATAAATTAATTTAAAAATTTATAATCACAAGTATAAAATATAAAAATTAATTAAATGAGTTATATTTATATTATATTTTAATAATTAAATTAAAATAAATATAAAAAATATATTAAATAAAATATATACGAATTATTTTCCTCTAATAGTACTCCGTTATCTACTCTACTTATTTGATTTGAGATAGTAAAGGTCATTAGGCAATTAAGAGATCAAAGTCATGGTTCACAACAGACTAATGTTGCTCAGTTTTCCCTGTACTCCTTCAAATAATATAATTTTCTTTGTTTTGCTGATAAAAAAAAATGTTGCACTTGCGGCTTTAGCCGCGATGGAGGTGCATCAACGCCCTTGACTTCTTTGTCAAAAGTTTCAGTGGTCAGTACAATAATATTATAATTATTCCTTCATCTTCAATTTTTCACTTGTCAAAAAAAAAATTGTTAGCTCAGTTTCATTGTCACTTTCAAACTCAGAAACCAAAAAAAAAAAAATAAAGAGGAAAGAAAAAGATAAATTCTTTGTGTTCCTCTCTTCCCTCTCATGATGGGACCAGCATGTTAATGTAGTAGTGACGCAAGTGTTGGGTGTTAAAGTCTCACGTCAGAAATATAATGGAAAGATATGTGGGTTGAATGTAAAAAAAATTATTTTATTTGTTATTAATTAATTTTAAATTAAATATAAAATTTGTGTCAAAATATATATACACAACTTTTACATCACGTCAGGGTATAAGTTTCATCTTGAAAAGACTATTAGCTCACCTAACAAGATTTAAAATTAACATTCAGCTTATATATGTAAGGAAACTTATTAAGTTATATGACAAAATTAAACATTTATAGTAATAGGTCTGCATGTGAACACTTGAAGTATGTAAGTTAAATATAAAATAAATTATTTCACTTATTATCAATTAATTTATATATTATATTCAAAATTTGTATTGAATTTTATAAGCACAATTTTCACCGCAAGAGCTATTGGTAGTACAAGATAGACATGGTCAAGTTAATCTTTACAACTTGATTGCTTACCATGTATTTATAATAGGACCACACTAGGAATGACAACGGGTCTCCACGGTGGTGGGACCCTTATATACTCATCTCTGTTAATGACAGGTACGAAGATTTCTACAAGGATTTTTTGTGAAGGTTCAAAAATAACCTTCGTTCCTATATTTGTAAAAAATAATAGGTCCTTGCAAGTATTCGAAATCCCCACCAAATAAGACTATCACTTGTTTCACTGCTTGTTAATCAAAATTAAACTTAACATGAGTCGGCTTAAACTCCACTAGTTTTCACATTTATCAAATAAAACTAACTCAAATAATCATATAAAGTAAAAATTTAAAACAAGACAACAAACAATAAATATACATAGCCAATATATACATGTCAAGTAGGTATAGTAAGTCAGCAACAAGTTCATAAAGAAAAAAGGCATAAACTACCATATAAGTCCAACAAATCCAGCAAAAGGTTCATAAAAAAAAAAAAAAAAAGGCATAAGCTACAACTATCATTAACAAAGTTCATGGAAAAAAATGCATAAACTGCTACCATACATGTCCAACAGTAAGTTCATTAAGAAAAAGGGCATAAATAAGATGAATTACCGATGATTGGTTCAGAGATTAGAGAAGAGCTATCGAGTCGAGTGTGAGTGAGAGATGGGAGAAGATCAGCCAATGGTTGCACAATGGGTAATGATAGTGAGAGGTTGAAGAGAATCATAGATGAGGATTGAGGAATAGAAACAGAGTTACAACGTAAAGCCGCAGAGGAGACTAGAGAGGAGGAATCACAAATATGAAATTGAAATCTTTGGATAGTCCTTCTAGGGTTACCAATGCAAATTGGGTTGGGCAATTAGGTTTAGGAAGACTAGATTGACAAAAAGAATGGGTTGGACTTGACAATTGGGTTTGGGAAAATTGAAAAAAGAATGAGTTGTGAAATTTAGGTTGTATTGGTATTGGGTTAGTTAATTTTGTTGGGTAAGTAAAAATTAATTGTTAATATATTTACAATATATATAAATAAACTTATCTATTTTTTTTCATATGGATCCCCACGATTCCCCATAAGGTGGAGGAAATTCCCTGTGAAATTTTATGAGAAAAAAAATGCTTCCATCCTCGCCTTACGAGAAAAAATATTCTTGGAATCTTCATCCCCATGGCAGGGATCTCCACAAAGCTTCGTGGGTCATGGAGGAAATTGCCATCCTTAGACCACACCACAAAAAATACCTGCCATATGGCTTAACAACTTTAAATTCAAGCATGATGCAAACTCTTTCTCTCTTCAAAATCTAAATTTTAATTATTAGTTAATGCCAAGTTTAGTATTGTTACATCCCTGCAAAGACACCTCTCAGGGATAGATGAAACTTCTCAAACTCAAGAACTCAAGCTAGAGAAATTGACACAGAAATACTTGGAGTGGTAATTAAGGATACCTATCTCTAGCACAATTATTGGCACCCTTTTGGCCCCTTAACAGAAACATATGGTACTAAAATGCTAAGGTATTTGAAGCAGTTAAAAGGGATTTTTTGGGAACTGATTCTTTGCCTATTGTCTAGAGTTCGTGTCATATTCAAGGGAGGGGGAGAAGGATACTATGTATTGTTACAATATATTGTTGGGTTTTGTTTTTGTTATTGAAAATTTAGCAAGTTTAGATTAAAATAAATAAACAAGTTTGATAATTAGATATATAGGTTATCAATTTTATAAAATTCATGCTCAATGAGTTATCAATTACTAGATCAAATATTTAAACTTATCAAAAAACAGAAAGAAAAAAGATCTATTATGCATGATTAAAGTATAATTGTACATTATGCAATATTCACAAGCATCCATGGGGGTTCTCCCTTCTGTTTCTCCTTCTCCACCTTTTTGCTCACAAGAAAATTAAGTCACCAATAAGACCAGAGTCATTTACCAAAAGCAAAGACAGAACTAGAGTCAATGCAAATGACAAAATCACAAAGAAATGAATTAACTAATGCATGGGGTTTCTTTGTCTCAACCAGGATGTATATCGGCAAAAATCCACTTTTAGCCCCTCACCTTATCAAGTTTGAAGGTTTTAACCCCTTACTTTATATTATGACACTTTTAACCCCTTACTTTATTAGATTTGTAGATTTTAACCCCTCACCTTACTAAATTTGTAGATTTTCGCCCCTCACCTATTAAAATTAAAGGAAATAACCCTCACTTTAGATTGAATGTTAATTCTGTTAGCTGAAAGTAGATTTTTATCAACTAACAGTCAACTAATAACTAATTAACAGAATTAACGAAATATTATAAAATTAGTTTGGTTAACTCTATTAGCTAAAAGAAGGTTTTGACAGTTAACAGTCAACTAATAGTCAACTAATAGAGTTAACAGTCAGTTAATAGAACTAATAAAATGTTATAAAATGAAAGTTATTTTCTTTAATATTAATAGGTAAGAAGCTAAAAGTGTTATAGTATAAGGTGAAGGACTAAAACCTACAAATCTAGTAAGGTGAGGGGCTAAAGATGTCATAGTATAAGGTAATAGGCTAAAACCTTCAAACTTGATAAAATGAGGGACTAAAAATAAGTTTTTGCTAATGTATATTTGTCACTTAAAATTTTCTAATTTCTGCATATATATATATATATATAGGCCCCACAAGATTTAAATAGCTAGGAAATAAAGAGACATATATGCTTTCCATTTTTATTTTTATTTTTTTGGCCAAGAGATATATATGCTCTCCTGTCTCCATTGATAATTAATATAAATTAATAATTCAATTCAAGAGGAAGGGATTATGGAGAAAGAGATCATGTGGACATGCCTGGCCTCTTGAGAGACCTGTTTGGCGAGCTAAGATGTGTTTATCAACATCACTTGGGTACCTGCAAAAGATTTAATTTTCAAGAAAATTAAAATTCAGTGTTTGAAGAACATAAACAAAACCAAGGAAGAAAAGCACATATGGGAAAATTAATTAAAGAATGTGAAGGATTGAAATATATATGACAAAAGATGAAGCTAGTATGGAATTTGAATGGTGATGGATAGAAAGTAACAAAAGATTGCATTTATACTATATAACCACTGCAAATGTTTGTTTCCTACTTCTCTTTGGAGAGAACATTATACTCTCTCTAAAATCTATTCTGAATCTCTCTTATATATAATACAGAGCCTTTTGATTTGTGAGAGTTTCAACTTTAAACCTTAAGACACAAAAAAGAAAGATAACTTGGAAAAAAAAAATGTATAGGACAAACGATTAAAAAAAAAAGTAGAGAAAGAAAATACTTACGGATGAAGAAAATGCTCGAACAACCAAGCTCGGAGAACCGAGACAGATCTTTCGGGCAACCCTCTTTGTGGTCGCCATGGATGACTCTCCATGATGCTCATCTGTTGAAATGCTCTTTGTTGTCTCAAGGCCTGGTCCAGAATTCTCAGCCTTGGGGTTTCTCCCTTTGTAATACTCGGTACAACTGGGTCTCTCTCCCCCATGGCCTTCTTAGTAGCCTGAATCTGACTCACAATTCCATCCTTTAAGCATCTGAAATGCCTTGACATAGCTTTGCAAGCTAGGGCTGAGTATACCGAGGCTGCTCCGGCTCCGGCAACTGCCTCAAAGGGAGATACCACTGCCTTCATTTGATCACGGTAATGCCTGTATCTTCTGTCCACCTAAGGAAGAAGATTAATTCAGAGAAATTACAACAAGAATTCAAACAAAGTGAGGGTATCTAGTGATTAGGTGAAAGATAAGATGCCATAAAAAGGAAAAGGAATAGGGGTTTTTGAAAGAAAATGAAAAGCAAAAATTGTCACGATGTGGTCATTAATGGGAAGGACCCAAGTCGCTAAATTAGTTCAAGAAACAAAATTTGTGAGACCCCTCCATTAAAAATTAATTCTGATTAGTTTACATCGATCAAGATAAATAAAAAAAAAAAAATCGATTTTCTTTATTTTGAAGGAAAAGGGGAACAAGAAAAGATCATTTTAGTAGTAAAAATGAAACATTTGAGGTAGTGTTAAGTACCTCTTCTAGCATTGAGAGCAGCTTTGTTTTTCTTTTCTGTAATTCAATGAAATCAAGTAAGTGAAGTGATTGGTTTCTTGAAGGACTGCTTCCATGCTCATCATGCCACTGTTTGTTCTTGTGCTTTTGCTTTGGTACCGCATCCATCATCTGCTTATAAGTTCCAAGACTGCAAAACTCATTCAGAACCTCCCGAGCAGGACGCAAGTACCTTGAATTCCTCATCAGATGAAATTGGCCTTGATGATTTCCACCTTTTCCCAACAACCCATGTGGAATAATATTGTTCTGATTATTCTGTCTCAGTTCAAAAGACTGCAACCCAATACTGTTGGGATTGGTTGAAGAAAGAGAAAGAGAAAGCCCTTGACTTGGCCTTTCATTTCCTTGACATGGAAGCACACACCTCAAAGAAAAATCATCTAGAGGCAACATGTTTTGATCTTGCCAAGAAGTAGAATCAGAACCCAGTATCACATACTTCTCACTGCTACTTTCAAAAATCCCCGTCTGATTTTCATGTTGGTAGAAATCTGCTGTTGACTCACTGATTGTAGTCTTTGAAGAAGAAGGATAAGATGAATTTACAGGTTTTCCAAGCACCCCTTTCCAAGTGCTGTCAGCCTGATTCTCGGAAAACCCTATCATCTCCATGCCTGTTGTTTCCTTTCCTTGTTAGGGCAGGAAAGCCAATGAATCATTCCTAAGTAGGAGTTGAATCCAGGCTTTAGTTTCAGATGGGTTTCAGTGAAGGGTGTTGTGTCAATGGGAAAATGGTGTGTGTGGGCCTGAACTGCTGCTTCTCCAATGGAATTTTTCTTGCGTGTGAATTCTGATTCTCTCTCTGAAATGTAGTCTAAATTTTGTTTCCAAATATAAGGGAGTGTTTTCTTTCTGCCTTGGAGAGATGAGGTGGTCCTGCGTTCCCCCTTCTTGATTCCAATTAATTGCTCTATTAAACTATTCCACTCATTTCGACTGGGACCCACATCTTTTCTTCTTTTCTTTTCATTTATGGCCCTCACTTTGCCCTTCCTCCACGCGCACCTTCCCCGCGTCTCCCTTAATCGACGACTTTTCCAATGTTTTCCTAAGTGAATTTTATTGAAATATTTCATAAATTAAGATAAAGTTTTAATTTAGTTAAATTTTATATACTTTAAAACGGTATGAATACCTGAATTAGATGAAATTTTTGACATGATTTAAAAAAAAAAAAAAAA